CTCTCTCTCTCTCTCTCCCTCCCTGCTCAGCCTGTCTCGCTCGCGTTTCACAGCAAATCTTGCTTTTTTTGGGGGCAGCTTAGCTGAGACTCGTGTAGCCCTGCCGCCCGACACGGCGCGTCGTGTGCGGCACTTGGCTTGCACAGGCAAATCACCCGATTCTTGCCTCGCACCGTTTTTGCCACCTGCACTGCAAATCACAGCCTCTCAAGCCTTCGATGCCTCTGCCGAGATTCGGCGAGCTCCGCACCCTGACCCACTTTTCTAGCTCTAACAGACCTTTTCTTGCCAAATTCCATCGGCTCACACTCTCTCCAAAACACATGCGCTCAGCAAGCAACTTTGCTTCTGTTGTACATTTGGCTTTCTTCGCTGGGGGGCCTGTTAAAAGTACAGAGATCTGCGCACTAGGCGCTCTGGATGACATAGTTGACGATCGAGCCGAGACTGTTGATGTCCTGGTGCGCTTCGTCGAGCAGTCGCGTGAGCTCGGGTTGGGTCTGGAGCCACTCGAGTTCGGATGAGAACGGCAGCGGTGCCGGCATCGGCTGAGACGCGCAAGGAGGGGGAACAGCGAGAGCTGCGAGGGCTGCAGGATCGATCCCCTCGACCTGGTGCGCGTGCAGCTTGTTGCGAGCAAGGCGCGCCTCGATGAGCTCGACACCCGGCGCATCTGCGTGCGTCTGAAGGTAGGCAGCTACGAGGTGGAGCACGTCCAGCGAATTGCGCGTGATGGGTCGAACCACCTCCTCTTCCACCAGCTGCGCAAGCGCTACAGAGAGCGGAGCAAGTTCCGGAACAGCCACTTCTGACGGCTCAATTGAATTCGGCATGGCCGGGGCATCGTCGATCTTCTCCGGAGTGGCAGCTGCAGTATGACCTGCGGAACGGAGGTTGGCGTCCGCTTCTTCGGCCGCGGGTGTTGAAGTGCCTGCCTCTTCCGTCGAGTCGCGCCACTGGAACGGTCCGCGTCGCGAAGCCGCCGTGGGTTCGGGTGTCGGCTCGGCCTCTCTGGCCTTGCGCAGTGCTGCGGCTGCCACGAGCTGCGCCTCGGCCTGCGCCAAGCGCTGCTCGTACGCGTCGTCGGCCTCATCCAGCAACATCGCATGCTGCGTCGCCCCACTCACAAACTCGGCTACACTTCGGACATACGCGCTGCCCTCCACCCCGCCGTACACCATGTCCGCCACTATCCGGCTAGCGTCTTGCCTCTCGCGCTCGGTGAACAAGGCGCCTGTGCGCTTTGCCTCTCTCGTGCGAGCAGCTTCGACGAATCGATTTTTGACAGCGCGCGGGAGTGTGAAGCCCTCGCGCTTGTGCTGCAGCTCGGCCTTGATCGCTTCCAGGCCGTCCTGCGCGAGTGCGGTCGTAGGCAGCCCATGATCTCGCGCGTCGTCGTCTTGCTTTGCCGCCGTGCCAGACTTGCTCTGGGATACAGCCTTCAGACTGTCCGATGCTTGCATAGCCGGGACTAGCGCACCAAACGGCCCCAGATCCGTGATCTCGAGCAGCCGAGTCAGCGTGGGTCGGAAATAGCTCCAGTCCTCGAGCGTCTCCTTCTCCCTCTCGCGCTCCTTGTCCTTCTGCTTTTTGGGCCGCTTGTCGTTCTTGACCGCCTCGACGTACGCTGGATTGCTCCACGAGTGCGGAAGGTCACCAACCTCACGAGCCCCCTTGGGCGCAATGCTCGGTGCAAGGAACGGCAGATTGCGAAAGTGAGGCGGAAGCGGCTCCACGTCGTGGCTGAGGTTGGTGTGCAGAGGTTCAGGCTCGGGCGCGATCGCCGAGTAGAGCGGGTCGGGTGCACCGGGACGCGCGGGCGGTAGCGAGGAAAGCGGATCCTTGTCGCCTTTCTCCTTGCTCTCGCCTTTCCCGTCATCGTCGTCGTCGTCGCCTTCGTCCGCCTTGTCTTTGGCTTTCTCTTTGCCCTTTTCCGCTTCCTTGTCCTTGGCCGCCGAATCCGGTTTCGGCTTGTCGCCGGCGCCGGAGCCGGTGTAGTCGCCCGGGATAAAGCCGATCGGATGCAGCGATTCGAGCGTCGGCATGAGCACGTGGCGACCCGTGCGGTGGAGTGTGAGGAAGGTGTGCAGGTCCTCGATGTCGTCTGGGTTGATCGAGCCATCGTCGTCGAACGAGTAGCTGCCTGAACCTGGCTGCAGCTGCGTTTGCGGAAGGTTGGCCATCAGCTGTGCGGCGGCTGCCGCAGCAGCCGAGGGATCGGTGGCAAGACCCGGTGTGCCTGCGGCCTCGGCTCCACTCTCGGCACCTGCGCCTGGTGTGGCCGATCCGGTGAGGCCGGTTCGAGCCAGCAGACGCTTGGGCGTTCCGGGCGCGCCGAGGCGTTGCTTCAGCTTCTGCTTGGATGCCTTGCCCGTGCCTCCTACTGTGCCTGGACCCATGGGACTGGCGAGTGCCTGGATTGGCGTGCCAGTCACAGCCGCGAGTCGCTTGCGCAGCGCATCGGGGCTGGCTTGGCGTTGGCCCATGGGAGTCGACGGCGTGCCGCCAGGCTGGGACGAGCCGAAACGACGGCTGCCCGAGCCCGCTGGTCCATCGACGGTCACGGATCGCTCGCGCGAGTCCCTCCCGCCGGCAAAGCCTGCGCGTGCGCCCTCGTCGTCCGAGGGATCCATATCGTCGTCGTCGTCCAGATCCATGTTGGCATCGCCGTCGTGCGCGCCGCCACCGGGCTGAGCCGAGTCTTCGCGCGTGAGCGTTCCGCTCGTCAGGCCGAGAGCGAATGCGGCACGCTGCCTGGCCTGCGACGTGACGCGTGCGGCTTCCATGATCGCCTCCACGCCTGCGCTGAATGCGAATTGCGACCCGCGCGCGCCTAGACGAGTGGTCATCTCGCCACCGGCAGTATCCAACCCCACTGCCACTGGCCCGTCGCCGAGCGGTGGTATGGATGCGTCGCGCTGCAGCGCCTGGTTCTGCTGCTGCACGGCGCCGCGCAGGACGCGCCGTCCCGAAGCATCGGCGACTTCGATGATGCCGCCGCCAGTTGCGATAGACGCAGCCTCGCGCGCCATCCTCTTCTGACGTCGGAGCTCGTCGCCCTTGACGCCGGCGCGGCCGTTGTCGTTGACAGCCATGCCCTCGCGCTCGATGGCTCGGTTGCCCCACGTGGCGATGCGCTTGGCCTCGTTGTGGTAGAGCGTGCCTTCCGGGTTGAACGTCTGCGCGTTGGAGATGACGAGCTGGAAGTCGGCCTTGAACTCGTCCATGTGGCTGTAGAGGCGGTCGTCCACTTTGCGCTGCATGGTGCCAAAGTCCATGGGCGTCTTGATCACGTCGAGGTAGCCAGGCACCTCGTCTGGATTGACGGGCTCGCAGAAGAACTTGTAGCTGTCGCGACGCTGCAGGTTTTCGATGAGCTTGGGGATGGCCTCGTAGAGGCCTTTTGAGCGCAGACGCTTGATGGGTCTGCGGAAAGGGTTGGAGCTGCTGCCGTTGGAGGTGCTCTTGAATGCTCCGTTCTTTCCACGCAGGCGTGGTGCCGGAGCGTTGTCGCCGGATGCGCCAGCTTCGGTGCCGATGCCGTTGGCATCTGTCCTGCCGTAGGCTGCTGAAGAGCCTGCATCCGCTCCGCCTGCGTCCTCGTCGCCCTCTTCGTCTTCTTCATCCTCGTCCTCCTCGCCATCTTCCCTGTCCTCATCGTCATCTTGATCTCCCTCTTCGTCTTCGCCATCGTCCTGGTCCGATGCATCGGCCGAGGCTACGGGCTGGTCGTCAACCTCGCCATCGTCGACGTCTTCATCTTGCTCGTCGTCGTCCGAGTCGTGCAGGTTCGAGAAGCGTGTTGGCGTCGAGTGAGATGCGTCGAAGGCAGGCGCTTTCCTCTTGAGCGAGATGCGTATGCCACCTAACGAGCTGGTGGGCCGGCTGCGGTTGAGCGAGGGCGAGGCCTGTTCGGGCGTGTCGAGCTCTGCTGGTGGTCGTGGTCGGCCAAGCTTGATCTGGAGCGTGCGTCGCTTGGGTGGCGGCTCGTCCGGATGCGAGCCGACACCCCTCCCCTGCTGCGCCATGCCTCGTGACGATACCGAGATGGCCTGTCTCCCACGCGCGCCTTCTTCCACCCTGTTGAGTGCAGCAGTCGAACTGGCGTGACGACGGCGCCGTGACTGGCTTGCTTGCTCTGTCGGTGACGTGAGGTGCCAGCCGACGGGCTTTCCTCTTTGTTTGCCGGCTCTCCTGGGGATGCGCCGGCTGCGGGTTGTTGCTCTCGTGCGGCGTGCGGCGTGCGGCGTGCGGCG